GCTTGTTATTAAGGCCAGTGTTACGCAATTCACCATGATAGCTAACTAAGCAGAGTACTCCAAAATAAAAGGACACAAAAAACGCCTTATCGCTGATTATTCTGCTGTAGCGTCAGCAACAACAACAAACAACCACAATCTTTATTGTGCTCTTGGTACAAAAGTGTAAAGACTTTAAAAGGAAATAATTGTGAAAAAAGAGAGCACAGCCACTCAGAAATAGCAAAAGCTGATCGCGCTGAGTGGCATCTTCATTTTATTGTCTCAATATGTTTTACTAACTTGCTTCTTCCTTGCTAAGGTGCCCGCCTGGTATCATATGATGATGAAGTAGCAGATGAGGATGAGGGAGAAGGAGAAAAGGAGACTAAGGTGATGTGCTAACCTGGGAGAACAGCCCACATTTCCCATTGTTACCACTGGTTTCCCTGCGAAATAGCGTCTGAGGAACAAGCGCAGTAGAGCTTCTGTTTGGTTAAAAGTTTGCTTCAACTAATCAGATAGTTACTGTATATTTATTTGATTGCCCTTCTTCGTGTCCCACCCTGAAAGATCAGTAGTTTGTTGGTGTTACCCAATGGTGCAATCACAAAAATTATGTGTCATACTGTACAAAAGGTTGAAGAGATACTTAACAATACTGTTACCTCACAACAACAAGTGACAAGCCCTAGGATTTCACGGTAACGATCATTTCCTGTACTGTGTCATTACTGTGATCTTAAAATAACAGAACTGGAAAATAGTTTCCCAGTGACATGTTCTGATATATTCAGACTGAGGAATCAAAATACACAAATATAGTATTTTTCCAGTTGGATTCTTAACTAGCACAGCAATTCTTTATGACCTAGCTTGTGTAAAAAACAAAATTCTAAAAAAAGTTCCGTTTTTCTATCATCCACCATCTTGAATCGTTCCCAAAGTGCATTGCATGTTACTGATGACTCATGCATGAAAGATGTTTTACAGTTAGCAGCAGCGATTGTTATGGCTTCCATTGCCAAGAAAAAAAATATGTCTCCAAAAGTTTAAAAGCAATAATTAGGATGAAGTCTTTCAGTGACAATTTCACTGTTGAAACTGATGATAAGGCCCGAATCTCGTTATGAAAAGACAAGATCTGTAGCGAACATTTCAAGTGAGAATACTTACTTCTTTAGTTGAATTGAAGAGGAGTCTGGAGTTTTTGACACTAAAGTGCACACACATTTAACACATTTAACATTGACATTCTTCTGACATTTTAACAGACATTGAAGTTTTTTGTAAATAATAAGTACACACTGATGTTCTTTAATTTAAAAGTATGTTTAACCACATGTTTCCAGGAAACAGATACTGAACTGAAAAATGAAATAAAAGTGGGTTCCCATGAATTTTCACGGAACCAAAAAATTATTCCCAATAGTTTCCCATGATCTCTAGGCACGGAACTGAAAAATTGTTATCTGTGGGATTTGAAATCCTGGGGCTTGAAGTAACCAATAATTCAATGCAAGGAAATACCCAAAATATTACTTATTGATATTTTTGGGTGAATAATAGGAAAGTGGAATCTTGGTGGAGACACAAGAGGACACAACAGACAAAGAAAAAGGTATGATCAGCCTTAGTGTGTAACCAAGACATACCAATTACATATCAAATTACATTTTGTATGATCTTGCGCAGTGATTTTGTTACAAATAATTATGGTGAGTCCTGGGACTCATCTTGTGAAAAATCATGAGTCCCAGTCCAGAACCATTGAGTCCCAGTTCAAAAAAAAATTGCATCTTTGGGGATATTTATACATCAGGGACGCAGGACACAGAGGTAACAAAATTACTGTCTTGTAAGCCTACTTGAAGCTGACATTGTACAAAATAGTGAAGACTGGGTCCTGAATTGCAGCTAGTTTGAGTATTAGGCTACATCAAAAATTTTCAGCGTCACATACTTGGAGATAGATGCCAGTGTAATATAGATGTTCAGTACATGAATTAATAATTGGTAATGAATTGAATAATTATTATTCAGGGCTCAAAATTAAAAAAATCTTCAAGTCGCCTTTTGGCGACCAACTGGAGAAATATAGTCTTGAGTTTGTATAATGTAAATGACGCATCTTATAGTATCAGGGCTTCTGATATATAGCGTGGGGGTGCGAAATTTAGGTAAATCCGCGAAATCTTGTGAAAGTCACCAAAGCATGCAAAATACCGCGAAATTCACTGGAAAATTTAACAAATACATGTCGATACAACATATTAGAAACTTATCTTGGCTATTGGGGCTGTTTAACTGCTGTAAACTTGAAAATTTATCTTGAAAGTTCATCACCACAACAAGCGAACAATGTCCCAAAACTACAAGGCATAAATTATGTTGTGAAAAACTGGGCACTAGTCATGATGTTAAAAGCTTTGCCATTGGCTAATTTCTCAAACACTTTGCTGTTAAAATAGCAAATGATTATCTCTGTTTAAAAACATTAAACACGCATCAAGTCAGCATAAAATCAATCAATTTCTAGCAAAATTGGCCCAGAAAATTCCCACAAAATTGGCCGTTTTTTACTGATTGTTTATCCGCAAAGTTAGCCCTGAAAATTTCTGTGAATCTGTCTCCGAAAATCCCTCAAAAATTGGAATTTTTTCCGCAAATTATCAGAAGCCTGTAGTATGGCGTGATACATCAGATCTGATTGCTTGAAAATGTCGCGGACAGAAAATTAATTGGTATAAATTTGGAGGTAAACTGGCTTTGTTTAACGACTTGGCACATTTTTTATGATGAAAGCAAAGTAAGATAAGATGAAATGTTTGTTTTAACTTTACTCTTTTAATTTAAATCTAAATCATAGAGAAATCTGGTCGCTAAAGTTTTTAGTCGCCAACTGAAGGAGAAAATTTTAGTTGCATTGGCGACCGTATCAGTAGCAATTTCGAGCCCTGTTATTGCACAACTTAATTGCCTAACTCAAGTGTACTTTGTCAAGATAATTTTAGATAATCATCAGGGTGCAAAGAAAGTGAGTAGGACTGATTACAGTTCTTCTGTAATATGAATTCCTCAAAAAACTTTACCTGTCCATCAGGCAATTTGAGAACAGAATTCACAGCCCAGTAGCAAAATCCACTAGCCCCAGGGCTATCGGACACCAGTTTCATGCATGCTGAATCATGAATTATTACCATATCGAGTGATGATTCCATTGCTGTCTGTTTCTAATTTTTTTGGTTTGTTTGTTTCCTTTTTTTTATTGTCAGTTCCAAGTACAAATGATAGCCCTGAAGAAATGGCAATCACTGAACCACTGGTTCCTGAGCCTGAGGTACAATGTAAATTGCAGTGTGCTTGTTAATAATTAGGACTTTTTATAATAAAAATACATTTTATTATTATTGTTAATATTATTATTATTATTATTATTATTATTATTATTATTATTAAAGATGAAATAACAACAACATGATATGATATATTATTATTATTATTATTATTATTATTATTATTTGATGGTTAAAGCTTACTCTCTTACGTTAATTAAATGGTTGTTGAGAGGAAAGGAAGTCATAAAATAAAATAATGCATAAAAAATTGTCAGCTCTACTTGTACCTGTACATGTAGGCAATTTTAAACACCCCTCCAATGAGCTTCTGAAATTTTACCCAGCAGGGTTTTCTTGAAGAATTCTAGTAATGGAGTAAGGTTTATCGTTACAGGAGAATATTTTGAGAGAGGCTCCACATCTGAATAAAAAATAGTCAAAGGCTACCGAACATCAGCCAAAGAATTCTGCACAGTGAACAGTGAATTCTCTGATCTCCACTGCCTAATGAACACCCTGACTCAGAGCTGAAGTTGGAGTATTAAATCAAATTCATCCCGTTAGCTCTCAGCCTCTTGTTGCTTATTCTCTATGACTGCAACACAATTGAACGATAAAATTTGCAATAATAAGTATTACCTCTAATATATTATTAAAATCTTCAGGTGGCTGATGCTGAAAATACGGCACCTGAAGAAAAAAGCTCCGAAACAGGTAAAATAAGTGACCAAAATTGACATGATTGTTACCAATGTCCTTTACAATGTTAAGGGTGTTATTGACTGACCAAGAGGAAGGTCTGCATGGCTGGTTATTAGCCAAGCTGCTTTTTGTGGTGTTACAAATATGTGCATGAACTGTTATGTATATGTATGGACTGAGAAGATGTTGAGAAAAGCGTAGTCGATAAAACTTAGTCAGTAAAGGATTTACAATGTAGTATTGATAGTCATCTTGATCAAAAAGCTAAGTCAATAAAGGTCAGTAATAAAATGATTTTTCTTTTTTATTATTTCTTGTGGAAGAAAGTGTGTTGTTGCGAGGGAACAAGATAGGCCCATCTTGCCTACTTGGGTAGCTTAATTCAGGATTCACCCAATCTTGCCAGCTTGCCAGCCACATATTTAAAAATATGTTTTTCTCTCCTGCCACTGCAAGTGGATGATCTAGATGATATGAGTTAAAAGTTGCATCCACTCATATACAATGTCATGTACTATAAACTTAACTTTTCACTACTTTTATTACCACATGGGAGGTCATACAAACTGCATTAGTATGGCATACTAATTTATTATATATGTTTTAGTTAAATTTTTTATTTCAGTTAATTAATTTTTTGTTTTTCCTTTGTTTTAAATTCATTAGCATGCATTACCATACCCAAAAACAATGGCAAAATAAAAATTAACTGCAGCATATATATACAGCACATACTGGGATATGCTCACTGAAAAGCTATGTTATACACAATTAAGTTCTAGCCAATCAGAGGAGTTTATTGTGTTTGTCACAGGCGAAAAAGATGACATATCCAATCAGAATCACGAGCAATGTTTTTTCACTTGTGTGAGAAATGGTACAACCAATCAAAAGCCACAGCGGTGCATGCCACTTGCAGTGGTCATGGACAGTGCTGTGGAGTGTACATAATTTTTTTTTATTTATTATATGCAGACTTGTAATTTGTTAATCTAGCCATGTTCTTGTTTACTACATCTAGATGAAAGTCTTTTCCTTGTTATTTTAGCAGAAGATTCTGATGTTGCTGTGAAATCAAAACCAATTCCAGCAATAACAATGCCTCAGTTGCCGCCTGAACCCACTGGCCGATGTTCTAACAAACTTCAGGTGATTCTCTTCACTGACTTACAAATTGTATTTTGTTGTCTGTTAAAGGTTAAACTTGATTAAAATTGTATATGGTTTCTTCTTTCTTCTCCAGGAAAAAATAATTGATCTTTTAGAAAAGAAGCACAGAAAAAATCTTGACTTAAATACCAACATACAGAACAGAAAAGATTTTAGAAACCCAAGGTGAGCAGGGGGAAAAATGTTGATTGATATTGGTATGATTTGTTGATTTGTGAATGAGGTTTGTGAAGATCTTGGTATGGCTTCTCCAGTCTGAACAATTTCCAGTGTCTTTTCATGTGGAAACGTCATTATTACATAATTATTTGTAATTCAGTACATTTTTTTTGATTTTACTAAACCTCTAAAATAGATTAATAGACTAAATTGTACATGTACCATGCTGTTACATGTATACTCTCATTTCATTTTTTTCTTTTGGTTACAATAGCTATTTGTCACTTTTTATTAGATGCTGTTTCATGGGTTTAGTAGAACCACTCTAAAAAATAATAATGCTTTGTTTCAGTATTTACAAGAAGCTTCTGTCATACCTTAATCTGGATGAAACAGGCAGTAATTACCCTAAGGTATTGAATCAACTTTTTGTCATGTACACCTGAACCATAATTTTGTATGTTTTGTTTATAGATTAGATATTTGTGACAAATGTAGTTGAAAAAAGGGAATTTAAGATAAAATGTCATGTATGACATCTTAGCTAGAAATTACTCTAACAGTTGGATGAACACCACCAAAATAATTCTGCTCTGCTAATTTAGTAGAAATTAAGTTGTAGCTAATAACTATAAAGTGAATTTCCTGCTTGTTTGGGTTGACAATTACTTTATCTGTAGCATGTTCTCTTCTCAAAGTTGCATTGTGCTTGCATGCACTATACAAAATAATGATACGCTTTGGATCCTAAGAAGGTCCTTGATGACTTGTCCTGCCATACAGTAGGTCTTCAATGTACAGTGTATTTAACAATTATTCCTCGAGCCTGAATGGGCTCAGAGGCCATGAGGGCATGAGAAATAATAATGTTTTAGTAAAATCCAACTAGTTGGTCAAAAAAATCGAGACTAAAAAAAATTTAGCTAGTTAAAAGCTAGACTTAAATCCTTTTCGCCGCCAAAAAGCCCGCCCTTTTCGCTACTATGGGGCTATAACATATAGCCTAGTAGTAGCTCAACCAATCAACCAATGGATTTTACTTAAGTCTTTTATCTCAAATTCTCTAATAACAGAAAAAATACCATAGTACATGGTCATGACAGATTGATGTTCATTAAGGTGTTTCAAAGGCAGTTCTAAAAGTGTGTGACAATAGAGAGGAGCAGTCGTTACATCACATTGCCATGGTGGCATAAATTTAAATGACAACCAACCGAAAACTTCACTTAAAACAGTGAATTTGCACTGCTTCAAACTTCATCGATCTCAATTTTATTTAATTTGTCAAATGTTTGCGAAATTTTCTGGGGTTGAATCCGAAAGGACCATATCTAAGTTTAGAAAAAAAAGTACAATTTCTGTCTTGTGTTCACTTGGTCCATAAAGTGAGTGTGTAAAATTAGGAAGTTTCATGTCGCAGTAGTGCAACGATGGAAAAGAATTGTGCAAAGAGCATGATGAACGTTCTCCTTGTTGTCTCCGTCATCGTTGGTTTTGTTTTTATCCAGAAATAATAGTGCTACCATGGTAATGTGACGTCACACCTCTCCTCTCTATTAAACAAAATTTAGAAAAACATAAACCAATACAGCCTTGTACCCAAGCCAGTTCGCACTATTCGAGTTACCAGAGGAGGCTTGGAACCGAGTGCGATAGCAAACTTTCCCGACAAGCTTGACAGGTGACGTCACATCTGAAATCGCCGAGGCGACTGGGAACGAGGCTGGAACCAATAGACATTTTTACCGATACGGTGGCCATATTGAATTCACTAAATTTAAGGAGTATTATGGGATGCCCAGGGGGCACTCGCTAAGTATTTACGCACGCTTTTCGGGCAAAAAGAGAACTTCACTGTATATTTCCCTGGAAAAAGGCACTCATTATTACATCCAAACACGGCACAACGATCTTTTTTCCCATTGCAATCTTTTTCTCGGAAACCTTAAAGAAAAAATAGCCCGAAAAGCGCGCGTAAATACTAGGCAAGTATATTGGGACGTGCTCATGCCCCCCGGGGCATCCCATAATACTCTTAAATCCAAGTAATTCAATATGGCCGCCGTATCGGTAAAAAGGTCTATTCCAATTAGTAAAGCATGAACCTATGCCGCAATACTATGCAAGGTGTTTATTATAGTTGCATATTTGCTAGTAAGAGTGTTTTGTTTACTCAGTGTGTGTGTGTTTTTTTCTCTTGATGTAGAGCTTGTTTGACCCCACATGTTGGACAGAGGAGTCGTATTATGAAAATTTATGTATGTACAAGTAAATTCATTTATCGTTGTGCCTTGGTGAGAAGTCACAATGTTATTGTTGAATTTTTATCCTTCATTTTTTAAATGGAATTTAAAAATTTTATTTTCCTTTGTTTTGAGCATGCTTATATACAACTACAGTCCCTCCTACTCCAACTTACGTTAATGTGGAAGATCGTAAAAAATAACACCTTCTTACGTTGTAAGACATGTCCCGAGTTCAAAAAATTCAGTTACTGAGTGACCAGTTTGTTTGCCCGTTTTATTTGTTTGGTCTTCTTCGGACTCTGTAGTACTGATTTTTTTCGTTCTTAATTTAGCCAAAGTTCAGAAAGAAGCTTATGAAAAAAAGGAAAAAGAAAAAGCAAAGCAAGCAAGGACACATGTAAGTTGTTTATAGTTAACTTACAGGCTAGAAATGAGAGTGAGATTTTATTGAACCAGTTTCTAATCTTGATGAAGAATCAAGCTGTTAGCTGATATCGAGTTAATTTTTTTCTCCTGAAGGTGGAATTTTTGTCAGGGACCAAGAAACCAACTCAAGGTGAATGTTGAAACCTTTTTTTGCGATGGTCAATAGTAGTAAGCGACTCACACCTGTAGACCTAGTTGAACGGGATGTAGTCTTGAAAAGGACCGGTAATTGTCATCAACAGTCTTATATGTGACCTACAGCTGTACTGATATTACTTGTCGTCTGGGTTCAAATAATTTTATACGGTTACCGGTCGTTTCGATACAAGTTCTTCAGTCGAGTTGTAAATAGTTTCACGACGTCCTTGGCTTAAAGAACGAAGAATATTTACCCAAAATGTTTTTCTTGTTCACGCACAAACTATACTTGAAGTGAACGAAGTTTTTGTGCAGTTTCACTGCTTAAGTTCGTATCGAAACAACGACCGGTTTCCTTGTATCCACTTGTTACAAAGTAATGACTTGTTGTCCACTATTCAGCTGCATGAACGCGGAAGGTTAGTCCTGAAGCAGTAGACAGACATAAGAGTCTGCCTAAGGCAATTCCAGCCTCAGACCTCAGTTTGTGCCAAGCCTTCCTTTCAAGTGCATCCAAAGAGAAAAGAAATTGAAATTTTTGTTATGGTATCGATTTGTCAGAACGCGCTTTATCTAAAACGCTGCCAACTGTATCGCCTAGATTTAATTAACAGCCAAACACAAAGCCTAGTAATAAAACCTCTTCGTTCCAAGGGCCTTCCCTATACATGTATCTTTCTCCCTCGAACCTGGGAAATAAGGTTAATGTGATACAAAATACGAGCGATAAAAGAGGTGGAGTGCACGTACGCGTCATTGACGTACGTTCTTCCCCGGTTATTTTATGACGAGCCCAGGGGAATGTTTCTCGAAATTCCCGGTAATTTTTCGGGTTAAATAAACACTTGCCGGTCCCAGCTAATAAGCAAGTCCATCTCAATTTGTTAACAGATAGTTTTTGTCATGTTATTTGCAGAACTATTTAAACCTCTATCTTGAATGTAAACAACAACAACAGCCCTCCGGGTCCGTAACGTCCGTTCGAGAAGCAGGTCCCTGGTGATGGAAACTTTGACCTCCCGCTCCACAGAACAGCGCTAACTACGTATTAAAGTCCTTTTGCGGTGAATGAGAAAGCTAACCAATAAGAAATTAGCTCCATCTTTGTTTCAAAAACCGCTCTAAAACAGAATAAACCGAGGGAAAAAAAGTAATTTGCGCAACCTCGCGTCATTTTAAAACTGCGAGTTTCCTTTTTTTTCTTCTTCTTCTCTTTATAGGCGAGGAGCCAAAGAAGCGTAAAAGCAAATGGGATGTGAGCGTCGTACCCGCTGCTGCTCCTGTCAAAACCGCGACACCGCCCACCAGGGTTGGAGGCCTGGGGCCTAGTGTTGTTGCTGCTGTTGATCTAACATCCGCTGCCAAAAAGCCTAAAATAGTGTCATGACAGCAGCCGGCACTTTTGCATTTCAAACTGCTTTCCGTCTAGATAGCTACTTATTATGTTTATACGTAAATGACTATTGTATCTGAAAATAATAAATGTACATAAACAAGTTGTGTGGTTAAAAACTCGAGTCAGAAGGGGAGATGATCGGACATTTACGCATATCACTGAACCACTGTGAGGGACCATGTCCGTGGAGGTTACTTCCTATGAAACCCGCGTGTTGATGGCGGCGACATCAGCAACGGGAGGCGCCACATCGCCTGGATTGTCAGCGAACCTGGGTTTTATTCCCAGCAAGAAACAGTTCAAATGGAATGGCAGTCTGGCAAGCCTAAAAGAATTTTGGATTTCTGAACTGGAAGATGGAAATGCGAATAGTTTGGTGAATATCAACTCAAATGCTAACTCTGAGGTGTTGAAGTTTGAATCTGCAACGGTTAATTTTTACACCA